CCAGGACCATATAAACTGTCCGCGGAGGCTCATTGCCCGTGGTGATATCTCTGTACAATAAAGCCTCTGTTGAACCCGCACCTGAATCCAGCCTCGTTTCCCTGACAGAACAATCTGACCAAAGATGGATTCAGCGGGATCGGATCCGCTTCGTTCTGCTCTTGTGCAACAGGGAGTTTTGCTGGGGCAGCACGCCACCCAGCTCAACACCACAGCGCAAGAGGTGGGCGCGCTAAATGCCCGCTTCGCTGAGCTCCTCACGCGCGTCGAGGATCTTCAGCGGGAGGCGGCTAACCAGGGTCCCGTCCTCCGCGCTGGTATTCCTTTGGACCCCGAACCGCATGCCAACAATCCTGCGGTGTATGATGGCGATCTGAATGCCTGCCAAGCCTTCCTCTCCCAGTGTTCGCTGGTGTTCTCACTGCAGCCTCGACGTTACGCCACAGAGGAGGCTAAGGTGGCATACGTCCTTACTCTCCTCTCGGGTCGCGCCCGCGAATGGGGAATCGCTGTATGGAGATCGCGGGCTCCCTGTTGTGCTACTTTTGCGGATTTTAGCCAGGAGATGATGAAGCTGTTCGACCAGTCAGCCCAGGGAGATGAGGCGGCGGCTCAGCTGTCTCGGCTGTCTCAGAGGAGATGCTCAGTCACCGACTATGCCATACAGTTCCAGACTCTAGCGGCGTTCGGGGGCTGAGGGGAATTTCCTGGACTCTGCCTCTGCTCACAAGTGGGGGATTCCGACCATTCCCTTGGTTAGGCCCATTACGGCGTGGTCATTATCGGGCAATCCTCTCACTAGTATCACTCACGTCACCCCTTGTGTAAACCTTTCCCTCTCTGGTAACCACTGTGAGCAGATCGAACTGTTAATCATTGACTCCCCTAAGGCCCCGTTAATTTTAGGACATCCTTGGTTGTTGAAACACAACCCACATATTGATTGGGTCAATAATTCTATTTTAGCCTGGAGTCCATCTTATCATGTGTCATGTTTAGGTGCTGCTTTTACTGCTGTCTCTGTGTCTTGTGTTTCGCAGGTGGATCCCGCTGACTTGACCGGCGTCCCGGCGGAGTACTGCGATCTTCGTGCGGTTTTCTGTAAGTCCCGGGCCACCTCTCTACCTCCGCATCGTCCCTACGACTGTGCCATAGACCTTCTCCCGGGCACTTCTCCGCCTAAGGGTCGTTTATATTCCCTTTCCGGTCCTGAAAGAGAGGCCATGGACAGGTATATACGTGAGTCAAAGTGCGAATTCCACGCCGAGTCTGTTACATTCCTTGGCCATATCATCTCCACCAGGGGGATTAAACTAGACCCAGCTAAGATAGAAGCTGTCGCCAAGTGGCCAGTCCCCGACTAAAGCCTCTGTTGAACCCGCACCTGAATCCAGCCTCGTTTCCTTGACACACTGGATGCAACAAGTGCCTCGTTTATAATGGGTTTTAATGTTTGTGTCGCTTTGGCCGGGACACGGCATCACAGTATGGTAAGAGCCGTAACATTTCTGTCACACGCTTGAGGTATTCCGCCCTGGATAGCTGGCCAATCAGAGCACACCTCGCTTTTCAGACCGATGAGCTTTGTAAAAATCGATGCGTTTCAAATAATGTTTTTTTAACCGTAAACCACATAAACACATTTCATTAAACCAAATACACAAAATAATGTTATTTTTAGCAACATCATATGACCCCTTTAATATAATAACTTTTTTTTTTTCATTATGTCATTTTTAGTGATAGCAGTGACTTGAGAGAGGACAGGAAATTATGGACAAGTGGAAAGAACAGAATCGGAATGTGATGCAGCCAGTCTTAAACCTGCCATGTCCATATGAGCATAATATGCTTTAATATGATTTTTTTTTTTTTTTGACAAATTGCTATTCTTTATTTTCCTTTTTGCCACTTTTAAGATCATGACACACCAAACCAGTGGTTGGCCAAAGTCGGTCCATCGTTGAGCATCTATCAGCTGAGTTTTTGCAGTGTTCCATGCCGATGGTGGCTTTTTGGCTGATTGAGCATGTTGAATCAGCTTCGGGCAGTTGCTGAGAGAGATCACTCTAATTGGGTGTTCAGCTTGGAGATCCATTGCACAAAATAAAAATAAAAATGATGAAAGCAAGCAAAACCGATAAAGTCAAGAGGGCACACACCAAATGCTCTTTGAATTTTATATCTTATCTGCATATTGGAATGTTTAGGTATTTTCATAACCACTAGTGGTCGACTGATATGTTTTTTTTTATGGCCGCTGCTGATATCTTATAGAGCAGGGTAGCTGATGGCTGATGTAAAGCCAATATATATGATATGACAACATTTAATTTATATATAGTAAAGCAAACAGGCATGACTACTGCTGAAACTAAATCTATATTTATTTTACATAATATTTACTAAAATATATAATTAAAAAGGAATGAAAAAATATAACGCTAAACAATAATGCTTCAAATAATATGAAGTTCACGCATTAATAGAACACCGCATATAGACTAAAGATCTTGGTAATAAGAAGTTATATTAGTATCGATTGTAAACGAGAATTGTTATCGTTAATGTCCACACAGCTGACAACTTTACCTGTTGTAGTTCGTTCAAGTTGTGCACGAAGTAGACACTGCTTGTCTGCACTTTTACTTCGCATGTCTCCGTCATTTTTTATCTCTCTCATGCTGTACAACTGGAATCTGCTTTTAGCAGGTGTGCCGTTAGCGCTGGTGTCTGGCAGAGATGAGGACTGTTTGAAAGCATTTTTTTTCGACTAAAACTTTGATGCGCATCGTCTCCGTTTATTGCGTCAACATAACAAAAGATGTGATCGCAAAACAAGCAGGAAAAAGGCATTATATGCAAATCTTTAAATCATAACATGTAAATTTATATAGTTGCCAGTGTCGATCTCAGCCAAAATATATCTCACAAATTAATATTTTTGGTCGCAAACTCGCAAATGCGACTGTTTTAGGTGCAGTCTGGAGCCCTGGACTTGTAATCTTTGCGGTGTGTTCAAGCCAGCCTTTTTTGTCCCAAACTATGTGAGGCAACAACTAAGTCGGTTTTCGTCTCCACTAGTTCTTTGATGTCAGTTTGGTGTGTCACGGCCTTTTGTGATACTAGAAAGTTGTTGTTTTTTTATTTTTGGCCAGCAACATAATGTTATTCTTTATCTCTGCTGGTTACTCCATTACTGTTCTCTCTCCATGTTTCCTGTGGTGTTGGACTCTGCAGGAAACGAAGTGAGAGAGCGAATTATGCAGCGCTGAGAAGAGAACTTTCAAAGTGAATGTACACCCAGACGCTATCCAAGCCTGTGGCGTGCCTGCGGATGCATATACAGACTCCAACTTTTATGGGATCAGACGCCCAGGTATTAATCACTAGCTGCAGGGCCTGATTACCCAGCATTCAGCTCTGTAACACACTCTCTAGCACTTATTTTCACAAATTTGTGTGTCCTCCCAGTATACCATTTAGCAGACCAAACCTACCTCTCAGGTTGCATGTGAGGGTGAGTTCGACACTCACTCTCTTACTGTTCAGCACTTGACAATAATCTTTGTAACACTGGATGGAGGCAGTCGGCCCACAGGGCTATCGGCTACCGCTCACAGCATCATGGGGTCACGTATCGCACTGATCACCAGAGAGCTTCCATGGTCCCCATAGGCTAGCAGGTGTAAATCTGCAACTTGTCGTGCATCTATGCTAATCCTGTGCTGCTTTTGGCATGCTAAAGGCAAAGGACAGACACTATCCACTTGCTTTTATCAAAGAAGTTTTTTCTTTTTTGGATATTTTTAGTGTCTGTATTTTACTTACCATGCTGACACAGTTCTAGCTGTTAGACAGTTTGCGTGATAAATCCTCTCAGATATGATTTTTTTTAATTCATGCATTTTTCACGCATCACAACTTGTACTGTTTTTTTTTGAGTGTCTCATGCCATGAATACTGCATTTTTAAAGTGTCAAGTTAAAAACACTTCGGAAGACCCCTGCATTCTGTCCAGTTCTGTTGTTCTCCTTCTGGTGTTTTATGTAAAGTTCCCTTAAAAAACCTAATCTGGGTCAAGTGAACTTAAAACCAGCAGTTACAGTATAGAAGACTTCCTATAGTTCACCCCGACATGAAAATTCTGTCATCATTTACTCACCCTCAAGTTGTTCCAAACAAGCGACTTTCCTTCTTCTGCTGAGCACAAAAGAAGCTATTTTGAAGAATGTTGGGGAAAAAAAGCTATGAAAATCGGTACCAGCAACTGTTTGGTTACCAACATTCATCAAAATGTCTTCTTTTGTGGTCTTCAGAAGAAAGAAATGTATACAGGTTTGGATCAACTTGAAGGTGAGTAAATGATGACAGAATTTTCTTTTTTGGGTAAACTATTGAATCAACATGATGAATCAAATAGTCGTTCATGTAATCCAACTATTCATTTTGAAGATAGTCTAGTTTCTGTACTTTTGTATTTTGTATGTTTCACAGATGTACTTTGGGATTAATCTAATCCGAATCTGCCAAGTTTTTTTTCACAAAACCTCTGTAAAAAAATCCAGAGCAAATTTCTGTTTTTCGGCAAACCTAACGGTCCTCTGAGAAGTCTAATCCCATCCGAATGGAAATGTCCATGTTATTGCTGATATTCTTTTATCACGGTGCTTCTCCTCATGTGTTTTTGACTAACTTAAACTACCATTTGTACAATAATCTTGCTGAATCTATCAATATGGATGGCATCTGACAAAAAAGTAATATGAAATTAATTAAAGAGGGGCAAGTCACAGAAACGTCTAAGTCTGACTATTTTAATATCAATATTAAAATATTAATATATAAAATCAATATATTCTCTGCGCATTTAAGTTTTTTTTTTATAATCTACTACTCCTAAACTTGTGTAAAGTTAAAAGATTAAAAGACATATACTTCATACATGTTGCATGTACAGCACATGACCTTCTGTAACCCCCACATCTAGAAAACCTGTGTAATAAACAAGGTCCTGTCCAAATCAATACAAAATCACAGATGTCAGATGATAAGACTTAACTGAAACATCATCTCGTCTGGATAGGGCTCTGGTGGTGAGCTTTAAGAACACAATGACAACAGAAGTGCTGTCGACTGTGGTTTTGCTCCATGTGAAGTGAAAAGTTACTGATGGGCAAGATGTTGTAGATGTGCCCTTTACAACAAACTTTTCTAACAAACCTTTTGCTCTATTTCACAGAAGTTTTATTACTTTTTCACCAACGTATGATGTAGGCTTTGATAAATATTTTCAGAGACATTTTCCCCTCATCCTTTATTTTATCTGTGGGACTGCAGGTGTCACCAGGCATGGCTTTGCCTCACAGTACTGGTAAAATGAATTCTTTCAAATCTCTTCTCTGGACTCACAGGGAGCTCCTTCATTTTTCTTTTTTCCCCACGAGGTGAAACTTGACACGTGAGTCTGTCTCATCTCAGGTCAGCTTAAAAACATGCAAAAACCAGAGGGCCCACAGACATGACACTCTCTTCCTGGTCTAGAATCTGTATCTGCCACTTACAGAAATGTCAATGTTTTAATCGAGGCCAAGAGTCTCAGAAAAGGAGAGAGTGTGTTCACTGAATATGACAAAAGGAAAGAAAGGTGTCTTTCAAAGAAGTGCAGAGAAAGGAATATGAGTGAGAACAAGAAGATAATAGTGAAACATGTTGGTGTCAGCTTTATTCTGTACCTAGCCTCAAGTCATTTAGAAAGGCCTTATGGATATGTAAACTACCATTCAAAAGTTTGGTATTATTATTATTTATTTTTTTTATGTGCTTGAAAGAAGTCTCTTTTTTTTTTTACCAAGGCTGCATTTATTTATTTGAAAATATAGTAAAAACACAGTATTGTGAATATTATTACAATTTAAATTAACTGTTTTTAATTTAATAGATTTCAAAATTTAATTAATTCCTGTGATGGAAAAGCTGAATTTTAAGCAGCCATTACTCCAGTGTAATCTTCAGTGTCACATGATCATTCATAAATCATGCTAATGTGCTGATATATATAATCATCGTTGAAAACAGTTTAATATTTTAATATAGCAGTTTATATAGTGCCGTTTAATATTTTTGTGGAAACTGTGATGCATGTACAAATACACGTACATCACCTTTTTTTAAATATAGTATTATCCATGTAAATACACTTTGTTTGTAGCATATTTATTATTTTAGATACTTAGTACTTCTCTAAATACATATAAACCTAATTGATATAACCCTTTTAGGTCCCACTTTATATTAAGTGGCTTTAACAACTTTGTACTTACATTTGCATTGTACAATGCACTTATTGTGTACATACATCTTTTTACATTGTACTTATATTTGAAAAATATCTGCATGTAATTACATCTGTAATTAATTTCTGTAATTACATTTATAATTACACTGTTGACCCATCCCTTACACCTTAAGCCACCCTTAAACCTTCCCATACCACCAAACCATGTCCCTAACCTTACCCATATCCCACCTCAATAGCAGCAAAAGTGTTTTGCAATACAATTTGAACACAATAAGTACATTGTACTTATTTTTTATGTAAGTACATATTAATTAAGGCCACTTATTATAATGTGGGACTTTTATATAACATTCATGTTACAACTTAGACGACAAAGCCATTTTGTTTCGTTTGCATTAAGCAGGTACCATTTATTCTTGGTTTTGACACTGTTGCTTACAGAAATCCCCCCAGACAAGAGAGTCATAAAATATGAACATCTCTACGTTTGCAGACCCTGACAAATAGCATTGAACTCTGTGTGCTGACTCGTGTAATCTCCTGTAGGAAAACCGTCATGGCATCAGGACGAGTAGCGCTGAAATATTGTTGTTGGGATTGGCACACACAGATAGAGCCAAGAGGGGAAAGAGCTGTTGTGATGTGAGCGTCATGCTTATTTGTTAGGGCGCATTTCTGCGTGTCGAAAGCAAAGACGTTTGCTCTGACCTCTGTCTGTCTCCCAGCATAATGTTTTCTGGTCAAAGAGATACTGTATATCAATCAAAAATGGCTGCTGAAAATTCAGCTTTGCCATCACAGGAACAAATGACATTTTAAAATGTATTCAAATAGAGAAAAAAAATGTAATTTCAATAATATTTTGCAATATTACTGTTTTTATTTATTTGACAAATTGTTGGTCAGAATATAAGAGACTCAGATTGAATCACAAAATGACTATTATTATTAAGAGATATTAAGTCGAATATACATATTTTCAAAGTATTGCATTATAGATGTATTATAGCTTGACCTGGAACAGGTTCTGCATTAAAAAAAAGCCAATCAATTGAAACTGAAAATGTATAGTGAATTTTAAGTATCTTCTTGTTTTTTTTCTTCTCCTTTTTCAGTGTCTCCTTCTACGATTCCACCTAAATAAATCAAGCTGCACTTGTTCAATCTTCACATTTCTCTCTTAGTCTGCCAAACATTTATGAGGCCAGTTAATGTCTTTTATGGGCAGCTCTTGTTTTGTCTTTTGTGGACATAATTGGAAACTCTGCAAGTGTTTGGCAGCCTGTTGTGTCTCTAATGAGGAATGTGTGGCCAGCAAAAGCATTGAGAAATAAATTAAGACAAACCACAACAAAGCTAACTA